ACGCTGAACCAGGCCGCGGCCGCTCGTGCTGCTGCCGCGGGGGTGCAGCCTACTCCTGCTGGCTTCAGCGTGAAGACGATGGCGACTGCGGCTGCGACGCCCGCGACAGTGCGCGGTCCTGCCGGCGGTTCTTTGGCGCGGCACCATGGCAAGCAGAAGCCCAAGGAGCTGATCACCGATTATATCACGAAGCGCAAGGTCGTGAAGTCCATCACCAAGGACACGTCGGCCAGCTCTGCCGCAGGCCGCCGCGCTGCTGGATCGGCGGTGGGGTTTCCTGTGCCAGCGGATGGCCCAGGTCAGGAGCCCTAGACGCCGTCTGCGCCTGTGCTGCGCCTGTCGCCGCGCCGCCAAGTACCATTTCAAGTACGCCACCTTCATGTTCATTGTTGGGGGGGCTGCGCGCCTCTTCTACTTCCACCCCGCCTCCGGCGCGAAATGTGGTCCGGAGCTGCTGTCCACAGGCGGACGTCGCAGGCGTCCAGACCGTTACGTGCTCTGCTACACGCACGCCGCTGGCTGGCTCCCACGGCCTTCCCGCGGCTACTACCATGCGCAGTTCTCGCTGAGGTCCGCGCACCGCCTCCGAGCATGCCATTGCCACCGGCAGCGTCTGCGCCCTCCGACCGCAGGAGGAATCCGCTGCTGGCGTCCAGGTCGCCTTCCAGCTCATGCTTTGGAAGATCCAGATCCCCGAGCAGTATTTCACTGATGCTCACCTCGACTACGTCTTCTTTCAGGAAGGGCGCGCTCGTGTCGAAGAGGTTCGCACGGGCCTCCACTGCACCATGGATGTCGGTGCCGGCGACGACGACGGCGGCCGCGGGTGCCAGATCTGGATTCGCGCCCGGTCGGGCTTCAAAGTCTCCTCGTGCGCCGCGGTGGCCCCCCGTCTGTTCTGGTTGACAGGCCGCGGCGCTTGCGGGTTGCCGCTGACCCTTGTCAGCGCACGCCCCCGCTGAGGCATCGCCGGCCACTGGGCGCGAGAGATTCTGGGACATGCTGCTGGGCACGCTGTCCTCCCTGCAACGCCGCGCGCCCGCCGCCGGGATCTACATGGGCATCGATGCCAATGCGCGTGTTGGCCCGCGCCACTCTGGCGCGACGGGGCCGTGTGACCCTGGGGAGATCTCCCATAACGGCGCTGCGCTTGTCGCCGCGCTCCAGGAGCTCCAGCTGGCCGCCCTGAACACCTACTACAATGTCGGCTACACTTGGCGCTCTGGGAAGGGCCCCGCGTCGCGGATAGATTACTTGTGCGGACCTTTAGTGGGCCTCCCAGTCGTTCACGATGTGTGCGCCCCCGAGCATGTCCAGCATCCATCGCCGCGCGTGAGGGCCGCCGCATGGTCGCTGCGCGCGCGCCCGCCCCAGCGCATGGCAACTACATTGCAGGTCCCGCGCCATTTCGCTTCAATGAGTGGCGCCTGGCCCTTCGCGCGCGCAGCACTTCCAGCGCCGCGTGCTCAAGCTGAAGCTGCCGACCTATGGCGCCATGGATGACAGTCCGAGGTCTTCGTGGATCACGCCCGCTCCGCCGCCCTGCACGCCTTCGGCCGCCCTCGAGATCAACCCCGCCAGCCGTGGATATCTGGGGACACGTGGCGGCTGCTTCGCACCTGGGCTCCATCCTGCAGGGCGATGCACCGGGATCGCGCCGAGGCATTCAAGGCGCATCGCCACCTCGTCTTCCTGAGCTGGGCAGCCCTGTGCCCCGCCGAGTGCTCGCTGACTGCCAGACGCGCGCGCCTGGGATGGGCGGCCCAGTGCGCGCTCCCTCCCCTGTGCGCACTCCAGATGCAGTGGCTCCGGCCGAGCGCAGGCGCCGCGCGCCTCTGCAACCAGCTCGCTGCATTGGTGCGCCACTTCGCCCACTTTGATCGCCAGCTCTTCCTCGAGAACAAGGCTCAGGAGGCGCAGCTGGCTGCGGCGCGACAGGATTGGCGCGCTACCTTCGGTGTCGTGCGTGCCCTCGGTGGCCACGGCGCCGGCTTCTCCGCGCACCCTGTCCGCCTCGAATCCGGAGCTCTGTCGAGCTCCGAGGCGCAGCGGTAGGAACATATGGCAGGAACATTTCAGGGGCGTCTTCAATGGCAAGCCGGTGACCGTGGACGAGCTCAAGCTGAAGCCCGCCCCTCGGCCTGACCCATCAGCTTGCCTTGTCATCGCCCCTGCTGCTGTTGGCGCGTCGCTCCGCCAACTTGGTCGCGACGTGGGGGTCGGCCCGGGCGGCGTTCCTGCAGAACTGCTCCTGGCAGGCGGTAGCGCTGTCATCTACCAGGGCATCGTCGATGGCGAGCGCAGGCCCGCCGCCTGGGCGGGCGGGCGCATGCAGAACGTGCGCGAGGAGAAGGGGCCGAGGAAGGACTGCGACGAATCCCGCGATATCGCCCCCGAAGACCATGCGGCCAAGGGGTTTAAACAGCTCCTCAGTGGGCGCGTGACCCCCGCGCATGTGGCCATCGTGCCTGAGTCCCAGCATGGCTGTCGAAGGCCGCGGCGCCGACCTCGCTGCGCACCTCGTGCGGTCCTTTTGCGACTACTGCACCTCCAATGGGCGCCCACGCTTCGTCTGGTTCGTGGACCTGGTCAAGGCCTTTGACCGGGCCGTGCGCGAGATCGTTTTTGGGGTGGCCCCGCGCCGCCACTGACTCGGCGCAGTACCTTCGTGACCTTTGCCTCCGCGACGCTCGAGTCATTGGATTGCTGCGTGGGTTGCCCGCCGCGGGTGCCTGTTTGAGCAGTGGGGCGTGTCGCCAAAGGTGATCCGCCTTCTCAAAAACACGCGCGCTGCCTCGCGGTTCTCTTACGGCGACTGCGAGGCCGCCGTCGCCGCGTTGATCGGCGGCCGGCAGGGCTGCAAATTCGGGGCCATGGTCTTCAACGGCGCGTTCTTCCTGGCCATGGCCCTGATTCGGGGCGCATTACTTGGCGCTGGAATCGTTTTGCGGCTTCCCGAGGGCCGCGCTGCGTTCTGGGCTATGCCGGATCACTGCGGAGACGTCTACCGCCCCAGTCATCGATGCTGCTCTCGTTGACGACGAGTGCTTCGTGATGACTGCGCCACGCGCCGTCGACCTCGACCGATCGATTGACGTGGCCCTCTACGCAGTGTGCGAGATCTACGAAAGCATGAACCTCACGATCAATTGGAAACCTGGCAAGTCAGAGTGCTTCCTTGTGTATCGTGGCACCGGCATCGCCGCGTGCCTGGAGAAGCGCCGCGTCCTGCCCGACGGCGGTCTCGCGATGGTGTCTCCCGGTCGCAGCGCGCGCTTGCTGGTTGTCCCCATGCGCGCCCACCTCGGAGGAGTCCTTTGCTCCAATGACTCGCTGGGGCCCGCTGCGCAGCATCTACGCGCAGCCGCCATGAAGAGCTACGCTCCGTTAGCGATCGAGATCTTTGGACCCGCGGTGGTGTCTAACGACCTTAAATTCTGGATGTTGCAGAGCCTGATCTTGAGCCGGCTGCTGCGCAACGTCCACATCATCGTGCCGACTCGCTTGTTCCTTGTTACCATCAATGGCGTTTGCATGCGAGTTCTCCGGGGGGTCGCTGGAGTGCCACGTTTTGGACATGCGGCTCACGATGTAGAAGTGCGCGATCGCCTTCGGAGGCCGAGCATCGATGGCCTGATGATGCGCGCGCGCCTCCGCCACCTCGGACGACAGCTGCGATTGCGGCCTTCGGCCCTCTTGGCGATGCTCAGCGCGAGCCCCAATGGTCGGCCGATGCCGTGGGCAGAGCTGCTGGCTCCAGTCGTGTTGAAGCTGCTTGAGCTTGCCGCCCTGTGTTCGCACCTCCCCACCCCCACTGCCGATGCTTCGAAATTGGCCGACTTCATTTGGGCCTCTCGCGGGCGCGGATCCAGCGCCGCGAGCAGTCTTCATTTTGTTGACTCTTGCTGCGATGCCGCCGCTGTCGCCAAAGCGTCAACGGCAGGCGGCGCTCGCCCGCGCGCTTGCACTATTTGTGATGACCGATTCGATTCTGCGAAGGCACTGTCCCAGCACATGCGCATTCAGCATGGCCGCAAGTGCATGCAGCGATTTTGGGCTCCAGCCGATGCCACTTGGCTTGCTTGCGGCTCTGTTTTTGGAAGGCGTCTTCGTCTCTTGCCGCATCTGTGCGATTCGCGCCGGCCCAAGTGCTGGAACGAAATTCGGGCAAACCGCCGACGTTTCCCGCCACTTCCTGATGCTATCGTCGAGCAGCTCGATTTGCGAGATCGAGAGCTCCGTCGGGAGGCCCAGCGGGCGGGGCATTCCCATGCTTTGGCAAGGGGTCCCACTCGCCGGGCTGACTGCTCAACCGTCGGCCGCGCCAGTAGTTAGCCACAGGCTGGCGGCGCATGCCCGTCCATGCACGTTGCCTTCGCTTTCCCTGTATAGCGTTCTTCGCTCTCCGTGTATAGCGTTCCCTGTATAGCTTTCCCAGTATAGCTTGTCCTACTTTGTCAGACTTGACACGCGGCGCGCAACACTGGGTGATTGCACATATATGTATGTATGTGTGTATGTATGTATGTATATATATATATATATATATATATAGATTCCAGGTGCGATCCTGCATAGCGGGGCCCCGCCCATAGGAGGTCTTTTAAGAGCCCAAGGAGCCTACGTGGCCACGTGCGAGGGCCACGACGCCTAGGGTGCCCAAAGCCTAGCTTTCAAAGGGGCGTGAAACGAGGCACGCGAATCGTGACTGATTTTCGACGCGTAGCGTCTAGATATGTGCAGCAACCAGTGCAAATATTTCTAATGCTGGAGGCCTTCATCTTCCCCTTTTTGCGCAAGAACCTCGATGGATACCCAATTTTTCACTCTGCATATCTGTCTGCAACGTCGCGGTCAGACCACGTCTCCCCATCACAAATCTGATTGCAAGACAATCTGGAACTATTCTCGGTTCAGGGACAGTCTGAAACTCTGACCCTCGCTCTCCACCATCCCGTCCTCGCTAGCGGGCCCATGCAAAGACAGAAAACATCCGCGTGCTAAATAGCTGTGTCGATGGAGGTGTTGCCGCCCTCGGCCCTGCACTCCTGATCTGGGGAGGTGGCGGCGCAAACGTTGTCGGCTAACGTCGGCGGCGAGCGCGCCGCCCCAGCCAAGGTAAGCCCACTGCCCGCTCGCGGCCATGCCCAAGCGACCGCCTTCTGGCTCCAGCGCCAGGCTCTCCACGCCCAGCTCGGGGGCACCAGGGCTGGCGCCTCGGCCAGATCAGCCCGCCGTAGGGGCAAGGTAGGCTGAACGATCGTCGCCTGGACCGCGGAGTGGAGCATCGCAACGATCTTCAGGTGTTCGGCCGTGATGTCGGACGTGATGTCCCACAGCGGGTTGCACCAGCGCGCTGTGAAAATGACCTCCGCGGTGCGCCACGCCACGCCCACGTGCCCGGTATCGAGCCACCACATCCAAAGGTCCAGCGTCGTGTAGGCGGCCTCGCCGTAGAAAAAATGTTTGTGGACTTCCACCCGAGGTCGAGTAGGGGAAGCGAACGGTACGATGTCTAGAAGTGAAGAGAGCCAGTGGTCGGGCAAGGACATCAGCGCCCGAGCTTCTGGCCGAAAAATAGTTTTGTGCGTCCTCGTTGACCGAGACATTGGTGAGGTCGATCCCTTCCCAGGCCGTCTAGGCCAAGCTCAGCGTGTTGTCGGTCAGTGCGCTGAAGATTCTCGCCGCGCTCGACGACACGTTGGCTCCGGCGCCCATCATGCGACCTGCTGCCCCCCCTACCTCGTCGACCGCGTCCGACGCGATGGTCAGGGAACGGGCGAAGAGGGGGCTCCAGCCCACCGCTGCGAGCCCCACCAGGAGCAGGAAGGCGACTCCCAGGCTTACACCACAGCCGCAGGCACTCTTGAACGCCCTCCAGGCTCCCCAGCAGGAGGATCTCTTCCTCGGACCCGGCGTCGCTGGCGCCGTCCAAGACGAGGGGATTTGCGGAGCCGCCTCCTGACGGCTGCTGCCATGAAGCCGTCGTCGCGAGACTCACAGGCGCCCCGAAAGGTGCCCCGAGAGTCGAAGAAGGCGGAGTCGCACCTTGTCTGTTCGAAGGACATACCCCAAGCACTGGCCTCGGAAGCGAAACCTGCACGAGCGCTGTCAGGGGTCCAGCCCATCTGTAACCTAAACTCGGCCTGGATGGAGGCGAGCAGCTTACGATATCGCTCCAGCCCTCTGGGGCCGTCTGGGGGCTCTCTTGGGGGCTGTGGGACAGCATCGGGGGTTCAACAAATGCTTACGCGCGTGTCTGCTTGTGTGTAGTTGCTCACCCTTTGCCCTAACCCGAGCACCGATTCGCGCCTTCGGCGACGAACGCGCTGCCCTCCAAACCTTCAGCTCCTTCTCATTTGGGCAAGGCTCCCAGGTAAGAACAGCTTCAGCGATCGCGATGCGTGCGCGATGGTTTCAGTGTACATTTTATGCGCCGATGCATTGCCACACGTAGACCTGTTATGAGCAGTTATCGGGACGATTGTAACATAACACTCGGAAGCCGAGAAACGCCGCATCCTTTCGTAGATCTCTTTGCGGTTCAAATGTTTCTTCCCTCTTGAGAGAGGGGGGTGAGGTCCAGGCGCCCCTCCTTCAGCAGGACCTTGCCTTGAGGTTTTGGCGTGACCAGTTCACTTCCTGGTCCAGGTTGCACGCCCTCAGACATGGTGGACGCTGATGGCGGGGAGGAGGTGCCTGCCGACCTCGCGGCTGTGGAGCCCGTGGCCGCCGCCCGCGGGCTCCCCGTGCAGGTGGGCCGTCTGTATCGCTGCGCGGCGTTCGACTCAGAGTCGCGGCCGCAGGGTGAGTACCTCATCCAAGTTGTAGGCGCCTACCCGCCCGACGAGGAGGGCCAGTTCGCACGGGCCGAGCAGATCTGCTGCAGCGACGGCTACTGGGCCTGGTGGATGGCGCATCCCGTCGAGCGCGGAGGAGCAGGCCGACCTCTCTATCACTTCTGTACGGAGGAGATGTGCCTAGCCTCGCCGAGCGCCTCTCGCGGGACACTGATTCACGTCTCGGAGTTTGAGGAGGTCGACGCAGCGGAGGCGTCGGAGTTCTATCTGGAGTGCTAGGCGGTGGACTCTTGGGCTAAGTGGCCAGAGGAGTTCGGGCCCAAGCCTACTGGAGAGGCGGCGGCTCGCGAGTCGACGGAGGACGCCCTGGGCGAGTTCGGCATGCCGCTCGACAGTTGCGTGGTTCAGGACACGGCTGCCCCTGCCTCAGGCTCGCGCCCGAGGGCGGCGCCGGCGCGCGTCGGCAGCCGCCAGCCCGCTGCCCTGCAGGCTTCGCCGCTGGCGGGGGCGGGTGCCCGCCTGTCAGCCGTGGCGCCCCCTGCGCGCGAGGCTGGCGACCTTCGCGCTCGGCTCGATCGGCTTCGCGGGGCGCTGCAGCCAGCCCCTGGAGGGAAACAGCCGACGGAGAAGCTGCGCGAGGCAGTGGCTGGAGCAGCCCCTGCGCGCGGCGGAGCAAAGCGGCCGCTGGCGGAGGTCGTGCAGGACAGGGCCGGTCAGAGGCGCTCGCCCGAGGTCCCAGCGGAGGCGGCTGCGAGCGCCGAGAGCGGAGGCGCTGGTGCAGGAGGCGAGGGGCCTCTTCTCCAGTTGTTGCTCGAGGCGGCGACCAGCAGGAGCGGCAATGGTGACGCTTTGCAGTCAGTTCTTGGTGGCGCCAGCAGCAGCAGCGAGTGGGCAGTCCCGCGAGGGCTCGCCTCTCGTCGAGGTCATTTTCGCCAGATTGCCGCCAAGTTCCCAGGGCTTCTCTCGGAGCAGGCGCTGGCCAAGATGAGTGAGTACGTCACCACGCAGGTTGGTGAGGAGGAGGGGGGGGAGTTCCCACCCATCTTCCTGAAGTACTTCTTGAATGTCTTCATCCCTCAGAACCCCATCAAGTCGATCGGGATTGGGGTCTACCGCGAGATGAGGACAGTTTGCGAGGCCGCCGATGCCATCCTCTCGGGCAAGACGGCCTACGCCTTGGACGTGCTGAGTCAACGGTTCAAGGCGCTTCAGCTCTTCGCTGTGGACAAGAGTTGGTCAGGTGCCCGCTGGCTAGAGCTCATCCCGCCCTCGAACGAGCAGCTTGCGCTCAGGACGGAGGATGAGGAGATCGTGCGCACAGTCGAGCTGGGCGAACTGCGCCTCGAGGAGCTGCTGTCCAAGAAGCTCAAGCGGGGCTAGGGGTCAGGCCGGGAGAGGGGGCCGCCGAGGAGCAACTCCCCTCCTCTAGGCCAGACTGGCGGGAGCCAAGGCAAGGCGGCGCACCGGCTGCCTGCGCCTCGGACGCCTGCGGACCTCGTCAAGAATCTACCCCTACCAGCAGCGCCAGCACCAGCAGCAGCCCGCCGCCCTGCGCCAGGGCCGCAGCGGACAGTGCAGCTGCGCGAGGACGTCTCGAAGGAGGCGACGCCGAAGGAGGTCTCCTGGAAGGCCATCAAGGACGCCCACCCGAAGAGGCAGGGCGAGACGCGTGGAGCCTACGGCATGCGCCTCAGGAAGCTCATGCAGGAGGCTCGCGGGCGACAGGACCGACCCGCGAAGTAGGGCGCGAGGCAGCGCTGGACACTGACGCGCAGCCTCGCTGGCCCGAACACTTGCAGGTCTGCACTGACTTGACCGCGTGGAGGGCAGCTGTGACTCGAGCTGTACCCGCCACGCCGCACTTACTGGACTTGGGCATCGCCATTGTCACCTTGCAGTGGCAGCACCCAGGCCGCCTTGGAAAGTTTTGCCGTGAGTTTCGTCCACACCTTCCCACGACTGGAGGGCCGCAGGTAAGGGCGCGTGACCTGTTGCCGATGGCCCTCCCCGACCTTGCGCTCACACGAGCATGGGTCGCATCGCAGGACGGACCGAGAAGGAAGCGTCAGAGATTCAGGATTGAGGGGCGCTTAGTCGCCAGAGAAGTTTGGTCATATATAGTGGTGCTTTCTCTCAACTTCGAGTACGTTGGTCGAGGTGGCCTTCGTCTGTGGAGACACTTGCCAATGCTACATATTGCCCAGCGGTCCGCCTACAAGACCATCATCTCCCACGTTGACGGCTTCTTAGAGGACCCGCTGACTCGTCGGCCTGACATCGACTGGTCCCAGAAGATCAGCAAGCTCAGAGTCGACTACACTGGTGAGGAGCAGGGCGAGGCCTTGCCCATCAAGCTGGCGGAGCTCATACCAGGCCTACCCGACAAACAGCATGCCGCGCAGCTCCAGACGGAGGAGTTCGTTGACGAGCACATCCTGGAGTGGCTTATGAACCCTGAAGCTGCCGCGCTGCCTGTTGCGGAGTGGCCGCTGGGCCCCCCTCGCGCCCGAGTCAATTGCGAGAGGCTCGAGGACTGGTACGAGGTCGCGGAGCACTTGATTGGCCTCGGCATTTTGGGCGTGGTCGACGAGGCGGACATCTTTGCGCCGCGGGGCCAGAAGGTCTTCAACGGCCTGTTCGCTCGCGAGAAGAAGGGCAAGCCACTCGAGGGCCAGTCGAGATGCACGCGCCTCATCTTCAACATGATACCCTCTAACGCCTACCTCCGCAACATCGTTGAGGACACGTCGACTTTGGCGGCCTCCACTTCATGGGCCAGCCTCCACTTGCCAGCGGGATGTGTCATGGTGTGGAGCAGCGACGACCAGAAGGGCGCCTTCTATGTGTGGAAGTTGCCGCCAGCCTGGCATGGCAGAATGGCCGTCTCGGTGCCCGTGCCAGCGAGCGCAGCTGGGTTGCATGGAGACCACCTAGTCTACGTGGCGTTCCGCGTCATCCCCATGGGCTGGGTCCTCGCAGTCACCCTCTTCCAGCACCTGCACCGCCGCCTGGCCTTGCGAGCACCGCGTCTGGGAGCTGGTTTGCCTGCAGGAGCGGAGTGGAGGCGCGATCAGCCTTGGCCGCTGGCGAGGCAACAGCCTCACGCGTGGTGGCAGGTCTACATCGATGACTTTGATGCGCCCGAGGTCCTGGAGGCGGCAGAGGCGTATCGAGTCGTGGGCACCCCGGGCGAGATGCAACTCGCCATGCGGCGCGCCTACACCCAGGCAGAGGTCGCCTACGCGGAGGAGAAAGCCACGCACGGCAGTTGCAGCTCGAGAGGATGGGAGCGTCCATCGACGGCTGCGCGGGCACGATCAGGGCCCCTGCCGACAAGGTGATCCAGCTGGTCCGCTACATTCTGTACGCCCTGGGCCGCGAGGACTGCCCGTGGCTGCTTATGCTCGCGTTGCTGGGCCGCGCCGTTCGGGCCCTGGAGTTCAGGCGGCCGCTACTGAGCTGTCTCAACTCGGTCTGGGAGTTCTCCACCAGGACGAGAGGCGGACGCATCAACATGGGCATGGGCCAGGAGCTGCTTGTGTGCATCGGGTACCTGCCCATCGCGTGCACCGACCTTAGGGCGGCGCTGTCGCCAGTCGCCACCGTCTCGGATGCCTCGGAGGCTGGAGGTGGAGTGTGCGCTTCCACTGGCCTCACGCCCTTGGCAGTCCAGCAGCTCAGGGCCGCCCGCCAGGGAGCTAGGCCGGTGCTGTGGCCAGGCCGCGGCGACCTGCAGCCCGCGCGCAGCTCCC